AAAAAAAAAAAAAAAGAATGTTGGGCACGCACGCACATGCACCTGGCACGAGGTTTGGTTTGGTTTGAAGACAGTTTTGATACAGGGCATGTGCACTCATTGGAGAGACAGAGAGAGGCAGAGAGACAGAAAGTGAGAAATCACCCCCGAGTGATTTCTCGAGCACGCCACAATCCTTTCTCCTTTATTCTCCTCTTGGGATCTTGGGCATCCATGCCTGGCATTAGTTTCAAGTCTCTGGGTCCAGGATTTGAATGATGGTTGACTATGTGGGAGTCCCGCGACATAACCATTGCGCCATCTGCTGGTCCCGCTAGTGTACTTTTTAAATTAAAAGCCTGCAGGCCAGCAGGAGGTGTGGAGGTTACGACACTGGATCTCACGTGATCCAACTGTGCTGTTGGAGGTCCAGACCTGGCAGCTTGGAAAGGGCGCATGTGCGTGCATACCCAAAATCCAGAGAGGGGACCGGAGGAGAGGGATTGTGGCACAGCCGTCCCCCCCCCCTGGGGGTGGTTTCTTATTTCTCCTCTCTCTCTCTCCCTCTCCCCCTCTGCCTCTCTCTGGCAAGTGCACATGCCCTATAGCAAAGGTAACGAAAAAAAAAAAAGAAATGAATGGAAAACCCTGGGGCCAGCCAGTGGCACAGTAGTTAAGGCAGCTGGATCCCACGTGGCCGACTGCCTGGTTTGAGCCCTGGACACTCTGGGAAAAAATGCAACAGTCAATTATGATTTTCAAAATAGAAAGCCAGCAGGTGGCATGGAGGTTAAGGCTACTGGATCCCACATGACTGAGTGGTTAGGGTCCTGGTCACTGCGGCTTGACAGTTACGCTGGGCGCATGTGCATGTGTGCTTGGGTCAAAAGGAGAACGGAGAAGGGATTACAACAGGGACGTCCCCTGGGGTGTCTCTCTCTCTCATGAGTGCACGTGCCCTGTAGAAAATTTTAAAATAATAATAATGATAAATAAAATGAAATAATTTCAATAAATATGTCAGAAATGATAAGACACATAAAATTAAAGTCATATACATGAGTGTTGCTGTGGCGCTTTCTGAGATCTACCACGTCTGGGGCTTGGGGGGCACTTTATTATATATTCTTTCTCCACTTTGCTCAGGACTTGGCTCTGACCAGTACCGCTGCCCTGCCCTCAACCTTTCCTGCTAAGGGGAGGCCTTTCTTACCAGGAATGAATATTTGTCATTTCTGTGCTGTCACCCGGGCCCTGCTTCCCTCCTCGCTCCTCTCTGCGGCACCTGGCGTTGCCCGCTCCGCGAGCAGGTGGGCCCCAGTGCGCGCCCACGATGTGGGTCTGCAGGTCCCAGTGTCTCCCGTTACTGGCGACTGGCGACGGCCCGTGTGCGCATGCGTGATGGCCTCCGGGAGACAAGAGGAGTGCTTTACAATTTTTTTTGGAGAGGTTTTTACTACAGGGCGCTTGCTGTAGCCAGACAGACAGAGACAGAGAACCGAGAAATCACCCCCCAGAGAGGGTGGCCACGCCGCAATCCCTTCTCCTCCATTCTCCTCTCGGGATCTTGGGCACGCACACACACGCGCCTGGCGTGTTTAAGCCACCGGTCCGGGATGCGAACAGCGTCGACTACGTGGGAGTCCAGTGACACAGCCATTACGCTAACTGCTGGTTCCAAGAGGAGTGCTTTAGAGATAAGCTGCTGTCACCTTCCCTACAAAGGCCAATATGCAGACTTTTTTTTTCTTTTAAGTTTTTTGTTTTAGAGGATGTGTGCACTTGCCAGAGAGAGACAATGAGAGTGAAAGTGAGAAATCACCCCTGGTGGGGGGATGGCCATGCTGCAATCCATTTTCCTCCACTCTCCTCCCAGGATTCTGGGCACGCACACACACCTACCGGGCATAACTTTCTTTTATTTTTAGAGAGATTTTTGCTATAGGCCATGTGAGCTCACCAGAGAGAGGTAGAGAGACAGAAAGTGAGAAATTACCCCCCCCCCGGGGGGGGATGGCCACGCCCCAATCCCTTCCCTTCCATTCCCCTCTCGGGATCTTGGGCATGCATGCACACACGCCCGACATGACTTTAAACTGGGTCCGGGACTCGAACCACAGTTGACTACATGGGAGTCCAGTGATGTAGCCATTACGCTAACAGCTGGTTCCAGGGATTATTTTGTGCCACAGGCATTTTAGTAGGAAAATAAAAAAGATTGTGGAAAAATGAAATTAAAGTACTGATTTATTCTGGTACCAAAATAAAAATAATAAATTGAAATCCATGCAGTCATTTATTTTTTTAAGGATTATTTTAACTTTATTTATTTATTTCTTTACTTATTTATTTTTTAATTTGACCAGACAGGGACAGAATGAGAGAGAGAAAAAGTAAGAAAGCAAGCCTCCAGGTCCAGGGCTTGAACCAGGGTTGACCATGTGGCAGTCCAACACCCGTAACCAC